ACATTAATTGTTTATCTGCCTGTTTTGCCCGGCAAACACTTATCACTGGTGACGGCGTTTGCGTAAGGGGATAATATCAATTCACTGAAAAACACGAAGGTGAAGCAAAATATAAGGTTGTCAAATTACGTTGTACTCAATGGGTGCTTACAAATAATTAATGTAAGCTGATGTTCGTCAACCAGTGCATACACATAATTCAAGAGCCTCTCAAAGGCTGTCAGCCGCCCCCTCGCCTCGCTTGCACTTACACTCACACAAACTACACTACAAAGCTAAGCGCCACTAGACAACACGTATGCAGTCTATTAACAGGTTAGTTTCAGGTGTTGACAAAGCAAATACGTCGGAGAAAGTGAAGTACTGTTTGGAGCGTGACATGGAGAACACGTGCAAGCAGTGCGGGAGACTGACGCCAAATGATGCTCATTCGAAGAAATCCAGCTACATATTCAGTTTCCACGGGGGCGAGGTCAGATTCATGTGAACTGCTTGAAGCACGGTTTACGGGTCCCCGGAATGGTCTGCCCCAGTTGCCTTCGGTTCTAAAATATTAAATGGCTTTGAACATTAATCGCATAGGGGTGAAGATATGTACCAGTGCCACTGCTAGTGGGTTAGATGCTCGATTCATCATTCCAATAAACACTCATTTAGGCTGCTAACACTGAGGCAGGCCACCTGCTGCACGCTGGCCACGTTAAAGTAGTGCATTCGTAGAAAACTATTTTCGACGATCGAACCATTTCCTGCCATAAGTATGCAGTAGCAAGATGATTTCCTTCTAGACATAGTGCGACTCCCTGTGTACTTATGAACATTTCATATCCATTGCTGGCCATCAGGCAATTTAAGCACATTTAAGTTTGTAATGAATGCTTACTGTCGGCGCCGTTGACGTGGCATTTAATAAAAATAGGGACATTTACGTAGGTGTTCATCAAACGTGACAATTATATGGTACTTGTTACGTGTGCACTACGTGGTAAAATTTGTTTTAGGAATGCGGAGGAGGAGGAGGACTTTTTCGACTCCTTGTAAGGTTTTACACATTACGTTTATTTTGTTATTTCTGGATCCACATGCGAAACATAGCGGCGGAGCAGGCCTTATTTGCAATGTTTTGTCAAGATCATTTTGAATATTGAGCGGATTTTGTTAATGACTCCTTATTTGTATATAACCCGAGCAACCAATCATTTAACTATGTCCGTATATTACGAAAGCAAAACCACATTTGCAAATATTAAGAGTTAAGACATGCGTTCAGGTTCATTTACGGCGTTTTTTCTATTTTCGAACACATTGAACAACAGATCTTCAGTTGGCGCATCAGGGGTAAGTGTTTATAACTTATGTACGTATTAAGTTGTTATATCCGTAATTACTGGTACTTTGATTGTCTAAATACCTTCTAAATCCATTCTTTACAAAGGCTGTCGTGATTTAAGGACGCAAAGGTAAGTGCTATTAAATAATAATTGTCCGCGATAATTCAAATTGACAAATTGAAAAAAAGGAAATGGCGAACATACGTTTGTTTTCGGTAATTTCTCCTTAGGTCTTTCATTTATAGGTTAATTAAGTAAACACACTATGCGGGCTGGTAAAAAATAGTATGGTTGTCAGGCTAATCCAACAGCCAGCAGTTCTTCACGTCGACTGACTGCCCGCATAGTTTATTTACTTAATAACCATAGAAATGTAAAGGCCTAACGAGAATGTATCTGATAAGTATTTGCAATACGCGGATTATATAACATGTATTCTTTTTGAATTTAAGGTGATGGATTACTCTTCATGCTCGGCCTCCTGCATAAATTTTGCATTATCTGTGATTTTTTAAAGAGCAAACACAAAGAT